TTACATTCATGCATCGTATATCCGACAAATATTTTAACCTCCGTTTGCAGTACCCAACAGAGCAGCAGTTAGGCACCTTTCGCGCTGCCGGCAGATCGCGCAAGACCCCCTGTTCCGCGGGTTACCGACCTCCAAAAACCCACCCCCCCCTGGCGTTTTTCGACTTGTGATTTTTGGCAATGCCGGCGCTTCGCGAGTCCACCTAACTGCTGCTGTCTCAGGTAATGTATGGAAGGATATTGATATTTTCCTTATGGAAAATGTAAGTCCCAACATTTCTGTTCTGTCCAGGGTTCGTGCTACTCCTTAATATTCCTTGAAAAGTCCTTGAATTTTTGCTTCAATCATAGCTTGTATGGTTCTGAAATAGATCTAGTCAAAAAGAATGGAAAATCTGAAAGTCGGCCATGTGCAACCACCGTGTAAAACCTTGGCATATTTAACTGAACATACTCCTTGAAAATTCATTTTTGGGTCCTTGCATACTCCTTGAATAGTCCTTGGATTTTAAGTGGTTACCTCAGCACGAACCCAGTCTCTCTTTTAGAGACTGGTTCTTAAAGTTCTCATGCTGCAAATAGCTGAAAAAGAAAACTTTTTTTCAATTTTTTATATTCTTAACCCTTGATCCCCCAAAAAGTATCATCTATAACTTAATGAATAAATTCATGCAGTCCTCAGATAGTAAGCCAGTTAGCCAACTTGCTATACCGCTACTCTCGAGCATTCTCGTAATGGCTGACAAATGCAGTCATTAGTTCACATTAAAAGATAAAAAAGCACATGAAATGTGTTTATAGAAGAAAACTATAGACATTGACCTTTTGTTTTGACCTGAATTCGCGCTATCCACCTTTATTTCGAACGAGCAGCCTTGCTCAGCCTTGCAAGATTACTGRTTGACCTCGGTCATTGCCGTGCGCTCTTCAGCTGTTATGAGAACAGTGGAATCGGGCGGCGTGCATGTGTGCGAGCGAGAGAGTATATAAGTGACACATGAGTACAGTCAATCCAGAAAAATTTGTAATCGTCCAACTCAAGTCTACGCGACTGGACCGAAGGGAACTCTTGGTAGCAATCATTGAAGCCGAGTTGACTCCATAATTTTATCTGACTAGTTATGCCTGGTTTACAGCACGAACCTTCGTAGGCGAGCGGGAGACGTTTTTTTAATGCCTTCATATTTTCGGGATTGTGAACTCAATCATAACTACTTTGTTTTTCTTTCCCTAAAGCCGAAGACATGCATTTGATGGATTGTTTCTCGCCATTATTATCTTATTACTAGTGGGAACAATTAATTCAGAACGAATATTTAACCGCTTCAGTGATTTTTACCCGTATTCCTTTCGGTCCAGTCGCGTAGGCTTGAGCCGGTCAATGACAACGTTTTTTGAATTGACTGTATTCAGACCCGCTCTACACGTATCTACGAGTTAAAAACTGAATGCAAAACTTTGTGCAAGATGCATTGTTTCAATATCTTTTTTTTATCTATCTATTTACATTACAAATAAATTATCTGTACTTAATAAACTAATCGCAAATAAAATAAAATTCTTTGCCGAATGTGATGGATTTTATCTTTATCTACAAGTACATCAGTTATAAATATTTAATAAAATTCAATATATATAGCGCGTAGTTATGCAGTAGTGCAGTTTTCGTATGACTGTGAAAAGCTTCAGTGACGTGCCGTGACCATGACGTTTTCTAGAATTTTAATTGGCTGATTTTTTTCTCGCGCGATGTGATTGGTCTGAAAGTACCGTGACTTTGGCGTGACCGTGTCCGCACCGTGTTTATGCCGTGTTCTGGGTATTTGATTGGCCTGGCGTATCCCTAGCTGTGTCAAGAACGTGTTCGTGCCATGAGCTCTTTTCACAGTCATGCGATAACTGCTCTAAATCATAATTATGCACTTAGATCTCGACCACACTAACTTTCCCATAATTAATTTTCGCCTATTTACAATATGTACAAAATACTAGCTTTACATATCTATAAGGAAGGTTCGAGTTTTAAGCTATCCTTGCTATTTATGAATTTTGTATAACAGGCAAAGCATTGCGAGTAGCAGATCACGTGACTCTTGACCATCCTGTCGAACTAAATCATGGGTATTCTTAAACTTATTTCCAGTTCTATTTAGCTCCGTTGAATTGTATCTAGGGCTCTCAAATCAAAGTTTATCGGGCGAATAGATACAATACAATCGTTTTTTATTACTAGACCTTAACTACAGAAGAATGGTTTGAAGTCGAATTTGGGAAAGGTCTATTCGTTTCTAATTTATGATTAAGTTGAATATCTATTTCCATATTTAATACAGACATTACTTCTGTAAAAAATGGCGGGAAACGATCACGTTATCTGTTACTTTGTTGTCTGGTCCATGCTTTGCGCGGCGGGAAAGAGCAAATGAGTGGTCTGCAGCGCCACGATATTATATTGAATTATTATTCTTAGCCATCCATGGTAGTTACTTGCAACGTATATGTTTTTTCAATGTTATCATTTGGTGTTCATAGCTTATTCTCACCAGAATCATGTACGCAAGGAAATGCAAGGAAGGTACTTCAATGTTCCTGAGCTAACATTAGTATAGTCCGTAGAAAATTTATTACCATAGCAACCTTCCATTATTCAGTATATGGAGGCGGTGGATCGTGCCTCGTAGATGACGTGTTATAATTTATGCAATAGTCTCTTCTTGGAACGTTTACATCTAAATCCACTACATAATGTGAGCATGCGTGTTGTCGTACGCATGCGCTCTGTGATTCCCGCAGTGTTTGTGATTCTCGCCTCGTTTGCGTGCTTGGTGCAGTACTTGTCGACGTAGTGGATGATGATTCGCCGGCAACCAGTTCCGCCTCGGAACAGCTGAGTGTCAGGTTAGTTTGGGAGGTCTGGGACTGGCGCGATGTCGAGGTACATTTGCCATCTCCTTCAGATCTTGAACGATATGACATGCGCTAGACAAGAAGAAAAAAGAAGTCACATTAGAACATTCTGAAGATGCTATTGGTTTCTACTTTTTCAGATATTGACTTGATTTAACCGGAAGTAAATGTCCTATGCCATTGTATATACAGTGGCATCATTTCTCCAGTTATTCGAGTGTGATTTAACCAGAAGTAAATGTATTATTTCTCCAGCTATCCGAGTACTGCTCAGTTCGAGTTCCCTGTTGCTCAGGGTAGCCTTGGTTTTGTGTAGGATATTCATGTGCTTGACTGAACGTCCATGGAATTTTAAACTATTTGTATTGTTGAAGTTGTGCATTCTTTACCTAAACCGACGTTGGTATTTGTGAATATTTTAACACTATATTAAGGCTAACTCTGAGCATAGTTAATATTAGCTATGCTTTGAGTCTGTAATCAACGAACACAACGATATTTTACGAATTCGAAAATGGCAGCATTAGTTTACAATAGCTTACCTTTGAGCGACGAGACGGGCAGAGTAAGAGGGATTCTAGCACGCCAGCTATCACACACACTGCCAGACCAGCTCCATAAACACCACTTATTCCGTACACCATGTTCTTCAGGTCGAACTGGACTACTCGGCAGTTCTCGGTTCCTCGGAAAATGTACGATACCTGTCGGAGATCACTCGAGTAGAAGCACCTGCACGAGGTTTCCTTCGGAAAGTATTGGCATCTTTCGAAGCTTGATAGCATGGGTGCTACGCTAGTGAGGGAATGCACTGCACCAGCAAAGCACAGGAGACTCGAAGATATAGTGAAGAAAATGCATGAGACAATCTAAAGGATAACAGGGGAAAATGAGTCAAACGACGAGACGAAAACATTTCGAATGAATGAAAAAGTATTCGAGGTAAGAGGTTAAAGGTGGAAAGCAGAATGAAGAAAAATAAATGAAAAACGAAAGAAAAGGAAAGCAAAAATCTAGTGAAGGAAATAGAAAAGGGAAAGGACATGGGATTAAATTTGAGAGAAATTGGAAATTTTATAATTTGAATCTGGGCGCGACCGAATTAATTTTTCTATTTCAAGGTCGCTTTCAAGACCGTGAGCGTCACAGCTCAGCTATCTAGATACTTGCATTCTCTACTTTCACATCCCCATAATGCCTTGCGTCTTTGGGGGGGGGGTAACCAATCAAAAATCTGTCCCAAATTGAAAGGTTTCTTAATTGAATTTATACTATACCTGCTTTTGTCTGTACAATACTGATTATCAGTTTATTCCAAGTTATTTTTGCGTGTACAGATCATGAAGAGTTTTGGTCTTACAGAAAATGTATTGACTTACGAAAAAATGTTTAAAATTTACCTTAAACGTCTGCAAGCTTCTATCTTTTTCTGTTTTTTACTTCTTCATTTTATTTTTGGATAACAAGGTATTGTCAACATTGTCTGATCAGCCTTCAGCAAAATAAGCGTGTTTTTACCCTCTTGTTACACCCCCCCCCCCCCCAAAGACGCAAAGTATTACGGGGATGTGAAAGTAGAGAATTCACAATATGAGGTCAGGGCTAATGAAATGACCTTGAGAACATCAGGATCGGTCCTCAACACGTTTTACGATAACGATGTATTTGAACATTTGAATAAGAATAATCTTGTATAGTATTAACATCCACCCCACCCCCCGGTGTTAGACATTTATTCTTACCAATAGCTTTGGTCGTTTCTTGAAGAGGATCAGATTTGCAAATCCGTTGACTGCCATCTATGAGAAAAATACATTTTATTGTTAATAAACAAGTCTATGTTAACCAAATAAACCATAATTATTGCGCGTGCGGTCAACAAACCGAGCCCTAAGCAACAGATAGGCATGTCTTGACAGTCGCACGGCTTCCTTAAACACAGAAAAGGCGGGTTTCCATTAGCTAGGCGCGCGCACAAGGCATATAGACACCTTTATTTCAGGCCACCAATTTACGTTACAGAACCGAAGGTTTGAAATGGGAAAGCATTAACGCTCAAAGTAAATCCATTCGGAGTTTTACGTAATGAATACCCCTAATTACACCAGTAGATCTGAATACTGAGCACGTTAAACTCTGTACGTGGTGCGTATATTTTAAGATTTCTTGTTGATAGTTTGAAGCTAGCTTGATATTCACAATACGCAGGCTATAAGGTATTATTTATAAATATTTATTGAATGTTAATCAAAATATTAGTCGTTTGATGACCTTTCATACCGAAAGGCGCTAATTTAGTCCCTTGACCGCTGATTCAAAAGCCTACAGACTGCAGTTTTGGTTTTCAAAAGACGCTGTTTTTGTTTTTGTTTTTGTGTTAATCACCCCCTGCCCCGACACACGGCGGCTATTAGTAATCCTACTGATAGCACGTGTGCCTCATTGAACAAAACAAACAAAGAAGTTGCTTCTTTTGTAGTCCCGTATGGCGTATTGGTAAACAAACGATAGAGAACGAGCCATCGATGCTGGATACTGAAACAACCACAGATAATAAAACTTCGCCTGAATTATCGTGATGCTTCAGATACTTTCTTAAAACAATTTTCTTTTACACTTCAATTATTTTCTTTTCGTTTTCTCTGATAGAGATTTTTCTTTTGACTCTGATATGTTTTCATTTGATGAATGAGCGAATGACCAAAAAGTATATGACAAAGACGCCACAAGATATTTCGCGCCAAAACACATTAATTAAAAAAAACTGAGATCTTCATACAAGGCTGTTTTGTACAACTTCATCTTCAATCAAGACGTATAGTACAAAGAACATTTCCTTATTGAAGAAACATGTGATTTCTGTTCAAGACAAACAAAGGATCTTTGTATGAAGAAAGGCAACGCCGGCCATATTGGACTTCTCCTTGATTCAACCTGCAAGTCTTTTGACTCAGTTCTCTATCTATTCTTTTGTTTGAAGTAAAAAGGGGTTCAAAACACCTTGTACTCTTTTCTTTACTGAAAGTAACATCTTATAGAATATATGTGCTGTAAGAGAATGTCTTAGAGATTGTTTTTTCAAAAACTAACGAAGTAAACGCCTTCTTCGTCTGAACAAACAAGACATTTACATAAAGAAGCGTCTTTTCGGTGAAACACTAAAAGAAACCATTAAAATAAGGCTTTCTTTTCCATTATTTAGTATATTCGTTTTCTTCTTTTACGTACTGAAATATTATTCCTTTGTTAGTGTCCTGAGGACGGTAATCTTGTAGCATCAGACAAAGTTTTCAATGAACAAATAACACACTAATGGTTTCCAAGAACTCTATAAAAAGTCACAAACCCTGCAAGAAAGCTGTCTTGTTTTTTTTTTTTTTGTTTGTTTTGTTATGTTTTTTTGCCTTTAAGAAATTAGGCAAAAACTCATAATATCAAACCTTTCATGTACTGAATTTCGCGAACTTTCCGCAAAAGCCCAAGTCAAAATAACGAACCGACAAAGAACGAAAATCCAAACAACTTTCAAAAACTTTCCGCAAAAACCGCCAAGTCAAAATAACGAAATAACGAACAGTGACAAAGAACGAAAATTCAAACAATTTGTAATTTTAAAAAGTCGTCACTGCTTCCAACCAATTATATATCCCTAAAATTAGCGAAACGTGGATGAGTTTTGTAGTTTTGTTTTCCCTTGGGGCGTAGTTTGTATATGATCTTTTAACAAAGGGAGCCACGCTTTCATAATAACTCCAAACAATGTGCGAGACAACGGCACGTGTGGAATATTGATCCATTAAACCTTGTCATGCTCTTCTTACAAAGAAACAGTTGGACTAAAGCCCCTAACAAAAACATCACTAATGAATGCAGCTTAAATTTGGCGAATAGGAGCTCATTCTTTATTGTAAAAAGCACTGTGTTTTGTTTTTGCAAAAAGAAATAAAATTTCCATCGGAGTTGTTGAAGGAAGCGTAATTGAATGGCACGCGCCAATCAGTCGCTTCAGTTGACTTTTCATAAAAAAAATTAATCAAAAAAAGTTTTCGAAAGATTTACAAAAACCCCAGACAAATCCCTCAATATGTACTTAAAATCCTTGTTTTATCCTTCAAAGTATGCCTGCTATTTCCTTATTTGACATTTAGAATTGAAAAAAGAGATCTTTAAGGTAATTTAGGTACATGTTTATGAGCGTTCGTTGAGGCATAAGCAAACAAATGTTTCACACGAAATTTTATAGTTTGTCAAACTATTCGTTCATTTGTTTAGTAACCGAAATTTTTGATTTTTTGAATAAAAAAATAACAATAATTTCCCGTTTTTAACAAACATAATCATATAAGTTTTTGAAAACAGAATCGAAAAAGTATATTCTGACATTGATTTATGAAAGGAAAAAAAGAAATAATCAAAATTTAAAACAGCAAAGCTGATAAAACTCTAAAAAAAGTTTTTCTATATGTTAAGTATGAGATTTGAAAGTTATTTTGTCGATAATTATATGATAAAAATATTATATCAGTTTGAAACATAGGAAACTATACATGTATGTATAATTATGAAGCCTTTTTTATACTTCGAAAGGTGTTTTTTTTACTGCCTAGTTACTTGATTTATTACTTCCATTATGAGTTGTTTTTCTTATAAGCATTTCAATAAATTAAAACTATGAAAATAATTCAAGTTTTTAATGAATTGCGCACAGTTAAGCTGTTCTACCCGGCTATCTGATTTGTAACGCTTTGCGCTATAATTATTTTCTCTACTCTGTTGAAAGAAGTTGTCAAAATTAAAAAAAAAAGAGGAAAATAATATTTAAACTCACCATTCCTCCAGCCACGTACGATGGGAATGTATTTTGAGTTAGGGGCAATGAGGATGTAAGGTTCTTGACGCTAAAATACGCCATGATCAGGAGAGATCCCACAGCGATGAGTGCTAGTCCCGAGATTGGCAATGATATGTACTTTTTAGAACAGCACGAACATTTTGATGGTTTTGCCTCACGATTAACATTCACATCTTTTACACGGATTTGTACGAGATGCTCTTCCGATTTCTGAGGTCGGGCTTTGGTTTTCTTGGTAGAAATCTTGTGATTTTTCTCCATTGATTCGTCGATACTTGGATTTCTCAAACTTTAGTTGACTTTAGAAAGTTGACCTTTGGGCGGGAAAATAATCAACACGAAATATATTCACCGGGTGCTTGATTGTGAGTTCTCGAGAAATACGCCAAGGATTTCCAAACCCTGGATTTAAATGCTGAATATGAATACTTTTCCTGGGATTTTTTTAGTCTACGCTTCAGTTCCTAAACAACGATCTTTCACGGAGAGAAGCTCAAGCGTAAAGTTACAGAGTATGGACGTTAGATATCTTTTGTGACGTCATGCGTTCCTTGACAACCTCCTTGAATAGGTTGGATACACTTGAATGAGTAGCGATCAATGGCGCCAACGACTAGAAATAAATTCAAAAGCGAGGTCAGCCATTAGCATAAACACCAGTTCTTTGTCTAGGATCAAGAGGTTGTCGAAAGATGCCTGTTTTATTGTTTTCTCTCGTAATATTTTTAAGCTAACTGGTGGCAAAAATCGTGAAGGCGAATCTCGTAACAAAAGATCATGTATTGATTCTTAATCAAATCAAAAACAAAAAGGGCTTTACACTAATGTCTTCATCTTCGAATGTATGATTTTTTAAACGAATAACAACCTTCTTTTTTCTGTTCATTGATCGTTTTCATTCAGTCCAGGTTTTTTGGGGGGTTTGATCTTTTGGTCTCGGCTCGTGTTTTGGGCTGTACAGTACAGGTACCTTAGTACACAAGTGTACAGAATGAATGCTATGATGAATTAAAGTCAAAATCACCTGTTTATCCCAAGCAACAAGACTAAGAGCCTCACACACATGTGATAACACATGTGCCAGGGGGAAAAGGCTGAAAAATAACAACAATATAATTTGGCAATTACAAAATATCTACAAAAATTTTACCGACTTTCAAAACATGATTCAGAGTTGCCAAAGCTTTTTTGATTGTTCATCTTCGCCATTTTCTGAGCTAGGTAGCTATTGTACAGAAAAATCTGTACTTTTGAATGCTTTGATCTTTGAACATATCGGTCAATACGGTGAATGGTATTCAATAAAAGCAAAAAACCTTCACAGACCAATTGATAAATCAGTTCAGTGTTGTTCAAAGAGATTTACAGTGAATTTATAGTTTTATGCTAAAGTACTAGTCGTATGAAAAGCGGGTTTCACAGTTTTAATTCCTCTTGCTGTAGATATGGCTATGGTTAGAACTGGCACGTGTTGTTGATGTGTTTTTCAGGTACGACTTACCTAAGCGGGAAATTCTCTACGGGCGGTCTTATTTCGCGCTAAAAAAGCGTGTTCCTACCTGAAAAACAAAGAGTCGTATAGCTAAATGATGAGTCCTTTTGTTAAACTGCAAGTGTGCTGCATGTAAAAGAAGAAAACAGTATCATGTATATAAAACTGTAAAGAACAGAAAATGTGGTTTCAGAGCGTTGTCAAGAAATCTAAGCATACTACAAAAATGTACTAAAAACATGTTTATTCAGTAAACGTTTCCATGCTAAAACTTTCGCTATTCTCTTTAAAAAAAAGTAAAATATTTTTTTAAAATTTAAATAAAAGAAAGTAGAAACACTGGCAAAAATATGGAGGCCTTTTTAGGAAAAATATTATAGTGCCGGTATTCACTAGATCAAGTATCAGGTTATGTCGTACTATTGCACTGAAATGGCTTCGCATTATTTTCCTCCAATCACGTGCACAGAGCGTAGTTACAGCACAGTAAAATATACTTAGTTGTACGATTACAGTTTTTCAATGTACAACTATGGATTTGCCCGATGGATGGATCATTTCGATTATAACGCGTCTGGAGACACGATACTCCGACTAGTATATAATAAGATAATCGTATTTAACTCTTCATATTTTTGCCAGTGTTTGTACTTTCTTTCTTTCTTTCTCTTTTTCCTTTTTTTAAGGAGAATGGCGAACGTTTACTCCACRTAAACATGTTTTCAATACAGTCTTGTAGTACACTAAGATTCTTATACAACGCTAAAACCACAGAAATCATATGTACAGACATCATATGTCTACGGGATGCTATTTTCCTATATAACAGCTGCGCTACTTCTGTACGTGATTAATAACGACGAGGATTTTCTTTTTTTATCTACGCGATATGGCCTTGTGTATAAGAACCCACATCTCAAAAGCCCTTTAGATATTATGGCGTATCGTACCATAGAGTATATGCTCCGGCACATGGCTGTAATTAAGAAGAAGAGGAAGTACCTGAAGATTACAATAGATAACAGGGATGAAAATGTAAAAAGCTCCACTGATCAAATTATTTGCCAGATGGTGGCAGCGCGTGTGAGGTGGCTCACTGACACTACAAAGGACATAAAGAAACTTGAGACTGGTGTTTTTTTTTGAAGCTATGCTGATGAAAACAAACCGATTTTATTTACGTTTTGAGAAAAAAGTGATGAAGGATTTCGTTTTGCTTTTGCGATTTGGAAACAAATTGAATAGTCGTGTTTATAGATATTAGTAATGATAAAAAGGTAAATTATACACCGTGAAAAGATGAAGAAACTTACTGACGTTTCGGACGCTAGTCCTTCGTCGGAGTAAAAGAACCCACATCTCAAAAGCCCTTTAGATATTATGGCGTATCGTACCGCTCTTTTCTTTTCATGGTGTAAAATTTACCTTTTTATCATTACTGTTTCATTTGAAACATCGACGCAGCTCACACTAGTTTTTATAGCTAGTTATATCTTCTTTATAGATATTAAGTCGATTAGTGTCGAGTAAGACACAAACGAGCAAGATAGTCACACAAGGTCTAACTGCAAGAAAGAGATTACGTCCAGCCTCTCAAGCAAATATTAAAAATTTTAAAGTAAACCTGTGATTTGGAGTTTCCATTAAGTGAAAGTAAGCGATCATGCTCGGTTATTGTTTATAGCTTGAGCTTAAATACCATTGATTCCAACGTGTCTAACTTGAGTCACGTGTTGTTCTTTCAAGTCAGCCATGACAGAGTCACGAAGCGCGGAAGTGAAATCAATAAGAGCGTCCATATAGAGGTTTTGCACCATCACGTGACGGCAGCCATGTTAGATGGCAGGAACAATGCAATCGTTTTACATGAGAAAGAATTCAATTCCCGAGAGCAAAGTGATGTTATTGTTCTGTCATCTAACCACAGGCAGTCCAAGCTGTATTATGGCGCGGCACGTGATGGCGCAAAACCTCTATTGGCTATATTTAATACTTTTTTCCGATGGACGACTTGAACTCACAGGTCACGTGACCCACCGCCCTCAAAAAAGCATTTGTATCAAAATAAACACCAGAAACCACGAGCAGAGCAATGGATAATAGTAAAGATAGTTTCACCACACAATTACCATGGTTACGACTCCCCTTAGTTACCGTTGCTATGTCCCACAAGTTCAGCAAATTCGCTAGAATATTTCAGAATTTAAAACTCTGATGGCATTAAACTAAATCATAAATTGCTTCAATTGTTTACTGTGCTTTGGATTAAAATAGGAATTACCTCGTATAATTCTCGTAGAACTCTTTAAAACAGATACTCTGGTGTGATTAGTATAGGATATCGCACATTTCGGCGAGTACAATTTGGAATTTATAGGTACGAATGAAGCTTTGAAAGCTTTCAAAATTGAACGAGCTTTTAGGTGAGTCCAATTTGAGAACTTTCAATACATCACGAGTATCTATAAATCCCGAATTGTACGTGAAGATTGTGCGATTTTTTGTTTATAATCTTATAATAGGCTCAACAAAATTGAGCAACTTAATTGGGACTCTACAGAGAACAATTTGGGATTTAATTATACAGCTTCTCATTAATCCCATATAGGTAACTGTCCAATTATTTTCTTAATTGGACAGGTCTTGTTGATATGGGATTAATTAGGCAGCTATATAATAAATAGGTAATGGGATGTCATGCTCCCCAATCAAGAAATAATTAGACTCGAAAAATTCGTCTGACTGCCAAATTGGACTCGGCTTGTGACCTCATCCAATTTTGTCAGTCCTCGGAATTTTCCTCGTCCAATTATTTCTTAATTGGACAGCATGGAGTCCTATTACATATACTAATTGTCAAAACCGAATAGTCAGGTGGGAAGAAACGAATAGTACGGGTCAAAATCGAATAGTCAGAAAAAAACGAATAGTACGGTTCAGACTCTTTTGTTTCCTCGGAACCTCGACTCGGATTGTTTTGTGCTTGATCACTCAACCAGAATATCGAAAGTTGGCGATTCTTATCTTATCTCAGTTTATTTAGGGATATTAGAGAGTTAAAGTCCCTCTTGCCATGGTATTACCATATTATCAGCAAAAAAATAGGCAAAAAATAAGCAAAAAAACAAAAACAAAAACAAACAAAACAAACAAAAACAAAAAACAAAATCAAAAACAAAACAAAAAATAAGCAAAAAAAAAAAACAACAAAAAACAACAACAACAACAACAAAACAAACAAAGCAAAAAAACAAAACAAAAAACAAAAAAACAAAAACAACAACAAACAAACGAGTGAATAAACACGATTCGTTTGGTATACATAACAATTTATGAACATTAGAATTACAAACTCTTTAAAACAGTTGTTTGAATTACTTAATAAATATTTACAACTTATTCAACCATTACTGTCCTTGTTCCATTACATTACTTGATTAAGGATCCTCCTAGGAAAAAAAAAACATTTCACTTTAAATAAAAATAACGATAACGATACTAATACTAATACCCATACCCATACTCACACTCACACTCACACTCACCCTCACCCTCACCCTCATACTCATACTCATATAAATATTAATAATACCTTGATAGTAGTAATGGTGTCATCTAATGGCTCGGGTGGTTTATAGTAGGGGTCACGTGTATGCATAATTTCCATTAGTCGTTGATAGGACCCGTTGTCAGGAGCAAACACATTTCTCTAAAAAAGTTCAAAATGTGTAAGAAAATGCAAGCATGGCATACTTTTATAAGAAAGCAAACATAATATTTAAAATAATCCAGCTCCAGTTTCGAATTCTCTGTTGCTCATGGTCAGCCTCGATGAAGTGTTGAATATTCACATGTTCCCGTGAAGGTATATTTGAAAGTTTATATACGAAAAGAATGAAGTTTTTTGAGTTAGATATTTCGGACGATATCCATCGTCCATCATCAGTTTAATGACTCACTCTAAGTGTATTAAGACTTTATAGTATTTCACTGTAATACCCCGGGAGGGGGGGGGGGGGGTACTACCACCCCAACTTGGGTAGGGGTGTGCCGCCAGGACCTCAAAACCCTGACCCTATCCCAGACCTAAAATTTTGATTTTACATACCCTACCCCAGACTAAAACTAAGAATCGTACACCCTATCCCAGACTAAAAGACGGAAATGACGGTTATTCAATAGATTGCAATCAATATTTACTAACGTTTTCATTGTTTTTGTGCCGGCAGAAAGCGTGGCCTATTCGCCAGACAAAAATGACCCGTCGTTAACCCTATCCCAGACTAAAATGATACCCTATCCCAGACAAAATGTCAAAAAATGATACCCTACCCCAGACCCAAAAGCCGAAAAACCATACCCTATAGGGCGGCACATACCCGTATAGCAAATATAGGGGAGTACCCCCCTGGGTGTAATACACTCATAGTGAGTCATTAAACTGACGATGGACGATGGATATCGTCCGAAATATCTTACTCAAAAAACTTCTAGTCATTCTTTTCGCATATAAACTTTTGGCCCAAAGAAACATATTCAGATTTGAAAGTGGTTTTATTATATGACCGTGAATCTTAGAGCCTGGACACTAGCAAATCGAGCAATCTGATTGGATAGATCGCATCGTGGTCTGGATTTTCCGGTATTAACCGGTCCGATCGCATATTAATCTTACGGCGAAAACATTTTGTCCTTTTCAATGAAAAGTGGTCATATAATAAAACTCTTATCAACCGAGCTTGGTCGGTCCGTACGGGATAATCTTGACCTCGGTCGGGTACAGACCACGGTCAAGATTGTCACGTACAGACCTTCCGCTCGGTTAATGAGATCTAAGTATTGTTGAAGTTGTGCATTAATTACATCACCGATGGTATTTGTGAATATATGATCTGAAATGAGGCTACTACCCCTGAGCAAATAAGTCTGTAATGAACTAGGTAAAAGATAACATTTGATAAAGTCAAAGAAAAACGTCTAAACCAAAAAGTCGTTTCCATCATCAAAGCTAAGACCGAAAGGTATTCTGAGTCAAAAATTAAGTAATGCATATTGCAGTTTGGCAGCTTTTATACATTGATTCAAGTTACTGAGCAAAGCCAGCATTTTGTCACTCTTCATGTATGTGTCTTTATGCAAACACTCTTCAAATGCACGTGGACCACAGAAAATCAACTCGCCCAGACTAACCGTTGGTAGTAGCTTCAATAATTAACCCTTTTTAACCCGACAATGTTTTTTTTCCAGTTTGTTGTATAATTTGGGCTAACATGATATTATCGATGGTTTTCACGGTGGCCATGTTGGAGGAACTTAATAAAAGAATTGTCAATGAATTCTTTTGTTATATCCTCCAACATGGCCGCCGTGTCTTTTCTTATTTAATTCTCTTGGAAATGGTTGAAAACCATCAATATCAAGTCATTACTTACCGTTAACGTTAGTCTCATGAGGCCTGTAGGCTTGCTTGCAATCGATATCAATTCAATCTGTCTCTGTACTGCGATGAGGAAAGCCTCTACACCTATCTCACCGATCTTGTTCCCTAAAACAATATCGTAAATAAGACATGAGAAATGGTAAACAAATCAAACCATAGTATTAACTATGATCAAACCAATAGTTGGTTGTGCTGGTTGATCTCTCACGGATTATATCATCAGCTAACAGCAGCCATATTGTCAGGACAAGCAAAATAAGAGAAGCAAATACTGACCACCGTGTGCTGTCAGCCAGAAAGAATCCTATTGAAAACTTGCGATTCAGCTGATGAACATTCCGCAGGAGACGAAATTACGTCACTAGTTCAACTCAGCAATAGATTCTCAACAATGTTAAACATATTCACACTTAAAACACTTACTAGACAAGTTGATATTGATAAGAGCCCTATTCCCTGGTATTACTATTTCACCATTTTTTTCTTTCAATGGCATTTCAAGCAACGGGTTTGGAAATTCCACGACTTCTGGTTGCTAAACATAAAACAATATCACAAGAGAGGTTAACGAGTGTACTAGTGCAGTTTTCGTATATGACTGTGTAAAGTTCACGGCACGAACACGGTCGTGACACAGCAAGGGATACGCCAGACCAATCACATTGCACGAGAATTTACTCTCCATCCAATCAAATACCCAGAACACGGCATAAACACGGCGCGGACACGGTCACGCCAAGATCACGGCACTTTTAGACCAATCATATTGCGCGTCAAAAAAATCAGCCACGACCAAATCATTAACAAAAAGCTTGTCATCGCTAATAACCACAGCAAGTACCGTAGTGGCGCAGCTCAACGGGGTCGAACTGAAAGCATGTGAAGGCGCCAACTGTCAGCCGCTATACAGTCCATGTACGACCCCGGAGCACAGCTCTAACCAGTTTGAATTAATTAGGGTTGGTTTGAGGAAGGAGGAAAAACCGGAGGACCGGAAAACCCTCAGAGTCAGAAAGAGAACCAACCAACTCAGCTCACATGGGGTGACTGCGAAAGGAGCACGTGAATATGCCTGAATGGTATGTGATCTTGTTACCTCTTGTTCTGTCTGCTGAGCACCTTTCTTATCGGGTTTTTGTGGTGCTGGCTTCTTTCCTTTTGCTTGGGCTTTTACAGATTCATTTGACGCCGCTAAAAGAAATATTAACCAAACAGGTATGGGTTATAAAAATACCAATGGACATTAAATGCTACTAGTGTAATGGATTTACCACATTATTTAATCTCTTACATTTCTTGGCTTTTTCATCCTGTTTCTTCCCATCCTGTGCATTCAATAGAACAAAAATCACTCAGTTTATTAAGCTTAAAGCACAAAATATACTTGGTTATTTCAATGCAAAAACACTTCCGGGTTTCATGTCAAATGGGAAGGACTGGGGAGAGCAGACAACCGTTGACCAGGCTGGATATAATGAACATCTTAAATATATGTACAGTTGTATATGTATATACAGTCCTTTGACTAAACGCTGTCGTTGATCGGATCATCCCTACGCGCCTAGACCGAAAAGGATAACGGGTAAATTACCCAGAACTTGCGTCATCCAAACTGCTCGCCAGTTTAAATCTTCGCCGTATGCTCGAGGCATGGTTTTAGCAAATTAAATGGGATCAAAAACAGCGAGCTCAAGACGTGTTAGATAACATATGCGACAGCTAGTAACTGTGAATTAATTATCCCCATGATCCTCTTCTGTCTAGGCGCGTAGGGATGATGAAGCCGATCAAATGACAACGTTTAGTCAAAAGACTGTATAGCTTGACAAATGACCCAGTCCGATTTTGACCGAATAAATAAAAATAACTGGTAGATGGAGATATTCATGGCATCGCTTTTAAGATCTAATGAGTCAAAATGAATTCCAGAAATGAAAAGAGCACCTCAACTTTAGTAAGAGGACGAAGTTTCAGCTCGAAGTGTTGATTATAAAAGAAATGACATTAAATATAAAATCAAATATTTTACAAGGATTTGTATGGGAAAAGTGTTGGCTGGTAAGCTTTAACCATCCAGCATATTTTCCCATACAAATCCTTATAAAACATTCAATTTTATATCTAATGCCGTTTCTCCTGTTTCGCTTACTATGAGCTGAAACTTCACCTCCCTACTAATAGTGCCGAGACGCTCTTTTCATTTCTGCCTTTTATTTTGACAAAACTGCTCGTTTTAGGGAGGTAGGGCCACATGATTTGTTAGTGCAAGTCGTCTATTGACCAACGATAAATAAAAACATGCCCGCCATCGGAAAAGTCATTAATTATCAAGCGCGTAAAGATAAAGATGAAGATGACTTTCACAGTCGAAAACGTTTTATTTTGAAAACCTTTTTAGAGCCATCTTTCTATCCTTGTAAATACATATTATTATTATATAGATATCGATGAAATACCAGGTTTTCTCTAGTGTCGAAAACTTGATATCTTTCACCAGTGGAAGATACCATATCTTTCACACGTGAAGATATATCGCTGTTGAATCGGCTTGCTATGTTAATAAAGAATTCCTGAGCTTTTGTTTTATTTAAGTTTCATCAATATCTATGTAATAAACAGGACATTACATGGCCGCTTGGAGATACGAATTTTATCTCCTCGTGTTCAATTTAGATATCTCACTCGTTCGCTGCCCTCACTCGTGAGATATCAATTGAACACTCGAAGATAAAATTCGTATCTCCGCGCGCCCATGCAATATCCTCTATTTATCAAGCGCGTATTTGCAACTTTTTCATTAGGTGACCTGGAAATCTGTAATTTCAAGAGTAAAAAGTGACATAGCAAATTTTCTCGATTCTGTTTTGGCTACCTTGGCTACCCTTTTTTCTCAGATCAGCTAGAAAAGCAGACAGCTGCAGCTTCTGCAGCTTCTACAACAAAAACAAATCCTAACCTTTTTCTTGGATTTGTCTTTCTCTCTGCTCTTTTTTTCTTCTTTTCCAATATGACCACTGGATCAAAAAAAATATTTATAAACAAAAACATGACCAAATGAACTGTTATTTACACGGATTGAAGGAAGGAAGGAAAATGGGTAAGAGACGAAAAATGAAGAAAAGGAAATGAAAGGAAGATTCAGAAAAAAGAAAGAAGACAAAGAAGCGAGGAAAAGAAATGCCATAACAAAAGAAATGTGTATAGAATCAATATATAGAATATAAAGAGAGTTGTTTTGATGCAGCAGAGGTTCCCTTTATATAAATAATCTATGGAACCCAGGGTAACAAGAATGATAGTTAACAAACTGAAATGGATGACAAGGATAACAGTTAACCGTTGAAGATAACCTTTGAATTACTTGTGAATTGACAGACAGACAGACAGATAAACCGACATTCAGACAGACAGACAGACAGATAAACCGACATTCAGACAGACAGACAGACAGATAGACCGACATTCAGACAGACAGACAGATAAACCGACATTCAGACAGACAGACAGACAGACAAGTCGACATTCAGACAGACAGACAGACAGACAAGTCGACATTCAGACAGACAGACAGACAGACAAGTCGACATTCAGACAGACCGACATTCAGACAGACAGACAGACAGATAGACCGACATTCAGACAGACAGACAAACCGACATTCAGACAGACAGACAGACCGACATTCAGACAGACAAATCGACATTCAGACAGACAAACAAACCGACATTCAGACAGACAGACAGACAAATCGACATTCAGACAGACAAACAAACCGACATTCAAACAGACAGACAGACATTCAGACAGACAGACAGACAAACCGACATTCAGACAGACAGACAAACAGACAAACCGACATTCAAACAGACAGACAGACAAACAGACAAACCGACATTTAGACAGACAGACATTCAGTCAGACAGACAGATAGACCTACCCGCTCCTTACACTTGCTGGTCTTTCTTTAGATCCACCAGTTGGGGCATTCAAACTCCTTGTTGGGCTTATTGACTTGAAAAAATAAATAAACAACTATTCATTTGCTTAATAGCCCTAAGAAGTACATGATGGCTTCAAAGATAGGTGTCTGGTGGGAGGCAAGACGAGGAATAAAGAGAACAGTGTGGAACGTTTGCTTCCTACTAATCCCTAAGTACACCTTATAAAAAGAGTGTGGAAATAGAAGCCCTAAGAAGTGCATGATGGCTTTAAAGATAGGTGTCTGGTGGGAGGCGAGACGAGGAATAAAGAAAACAGTGTGGAACGTTTGCTTCCTATCAATCCCTTACACCTTATAAAAAGAGTGTGGAAATAGAGACACCTCCAAACAAGCAATCTTATTATTTCCAAGAGATTCTGCACACTTTGCCTGAATATGAGTGTAAACTTATTAAAATATCAGAGAAAACAGTAAAACATCTATAATGACTTCTGACTGAAATTTCAAGAGATATTTACTCTTAACATTTTTTCACTAGTACAATTATATTAATCGTCATAATAAGACAATGAGCGTGCTTGAGTTAAAGAATTCTTAAGTTTGCTGTCAACACCCCAAGATGGTCCTGGAGACCATTTTCTTTAACAATTATTCGCCGAAGGCGAAGTGATTATCGGGCCAATAATCACTGAGCCTGAGGCAAATAATTGTTTTAGTATAAATACACAGGTGATTCTTTCAAAAAAAGAAAACAAAGAAGATAAAAGACATTTTTTCCGGTAACAGCAACAAAGCAGCTGGCCGCCATTTTGGATTTTCGCTCGAGGTGATTATCGTATGATAGTGTGAGTTTCTTGACCAATCAGCGCGCGAGATTTTCTATAATCACCTGCGCATTTTTACTAATGCTAATTATTAACTATTTTAAAATAATATTAATTAATTTTGCGCATGAGAAGGACTGGTTTTTTCATCTTATTTTACTTACATCTTCAGGAGTTTTCTTTGATATTAAGAGTCTTCTTGCTATGATTTCTTCATGACTGAGTGAGAAGCTAGAAATAACCTGAAGGGAAGAGATACAAGATCAGTTTCTTATTTGTTTATCTGTTTCCTCTATTTCTACTGGGTTGCCTGTGGTAATCCAGTCTAAAGATGGGTTCTGTTTCTCCATCTTTATTTTCTTTGTGAGAAAATGCAGGAATTGTGCAATAGTAACCCAAGAGCCTCCATGACATTACCCAAGAGTCCTTTACGTGCATATGAAGGGATTCCGTGTATATAGAGGATATTGCATGGGCGCGCGGAGATACGAATATTATCTTTGAGTGTTCAATTGATATCTCACGAGTGAGAGGGCAGCGAACGAGTGAGATATCTGAATTGAACATGAGAAGATAAAATTCGTATCTCCAAGCGGCCATGTAATGTCCTGTTTATTATATAGATATCGATGAAACTTAAATAAAACAAAAGCTCAAAAATTCTTTATTAAAATAGCAAGTCGATTCAATAGGGATATCTTCACGTGTGAAAGATATGGTATCTTCCACTGGTGAAAGATATGTTTTTGATACTAGAGAAAACCTGGTATTTCGTCGATATCTATATTATAAAGTCTGATCTATTGCCTTGTGGCAGTTGCCAATTAATATCACTAAATTATCAAAGTGATTGATTGGGGGTGGGGCTGCGTATCATGTGTAGAAAATTAACATCTACGCATGTGTTCTTTTTTCGTTGGTGGCTGAGATTCAAGATCAGTTTTTAATTTGTTTGAGTGCATACTAGCAATTAAGACTCAGCTATTACCTCAGCTATTTTGGATGCTCCGACATCTGATATTAAGTTGCTTCCTAAGTTTAATGACAACAATGTCCTGTTCATACGTAAACCCTAAAAACACACACAAAAATGATTGATAATGATCAAATTACAATGTGGTAATCTGTTCTCTCTGTTTGATAATTTAATCCTGTCATCAGTGTGAGGGTGGGTGGGTACATGGATGGGTGGGTGGGTACATGGATGGGTGGGTGGTTACATGGATGGGTGGATTGATGGATGGATTGCAAAGGATATATGGAATGGATGGGTGGATTGTATGCAGGTATGGGATGGGTGGATTGGTGGATGGGTGGGTGGGTACATGGATGGATGGGTGGGTACATGGATGGTTACATGGTAGGGCAGATGGATGCATGATTCAATGGATGGGTGGGTGGGTACATGAATGGATGTATGGTTATATGTGTGGGTGGGTGGGTATACAGACAAAGGGTTGGATGCACCCATGCATGGTTGCACAAGTAGATGGATGGTTGGATGGATGCATATGCATGTTGAAAATCTCTGAAAAGATCTTTTCCACACTCGAAGATAAATTTCGTATCTCCACACGCCCATGTGATATCATCTATTTAATTGCACTCGAAAAATGGTAGTAATACGCAGGAAATTGAGTGTGTCATATAATAATCATGGTTAATAGATAAGTGGATGGATGCACGCATGCTGGTCCTAAGGTATTGGTTGGATGGGTGGATGCATGTATGGATGGGTGCATGGGTAGATGATTAAATGGATGGATTGATAGGTCAAAGAATGGATAGAATAAAAGGAGATGGGTTAAATGGATACATGTATGGAAGGATTGCAAAGGATAGATGTAATGGATGGGTGGATAGTATGCATGCATTGATGGGTGGATTGGTGCATGGGTGGGTGGGTAAATGGTGGATTGCAAAGGATAGATGGAATGGATGGGTGGATAGTATGCATGCATCAATGAGTGAATTGGTTGATGGGTAAGTTGGCAAATGGATAGATCGATAAGTCAAATGATAGATGGAATGGAATGCATGTGCTAATGTCTAGACAAGTAGTATAGGGGATGGGGGTTCCAGCGCAACGACGACTGGAGGATTACCCGTCTAAAGTACCCACCTCGATTCGTACCGCGATTACCCGCATCCCGCGTCTATGTAAGATATGTTAGTCTATATATGGAGTGCGAAGATTGTAA